GGCCTATTGTTTAAAGGCCGGCAGTAGGGTGTAGGACTGTCTGTAGGCCTATTGTTTAAAGGCCGGCAGGTAGGGTGTAGGACTGTCTGTAGACCTATTGTTTAAAGGCCGGCAGTAGGGTGTAGGACTGTCTGTAGGCCTATTGTTTAAAGGCCGGCAGTAGGGTGTAGGACTGTCTGTAGACCTATTGTTTAAAGGCCGGCAGTAGGGTGTAGGACTGTCTGTTGGCCTATTGTTTAAAGGCCGGCAGTAGGGTGTAGGACTGTCTCAGTACCCGGACCCAGCTTAAACAAAAAAACACGAAAAAAAACCCCAAAAAACATTGCACCCGGTTAAACCCTAGTTGGGTAACAATGAGACGAAAGATATGTCGTTGTCACGTGGGAAACAGCTGACACGCACGCAGCCAGACTTCGAGTCAGGTTGTTAGAAGAAGACCGCCACAGAGAAGTCTTAACCAATCCCTAACTAAACAGTATTGTCACTTAATGGGAAGAAAGCAGTTGTTGAACAACGTTATACCACATTTAAGCCGTAATGATTGGTAATAGAAGGTCTGAGAGGGGGGGTGAGGGGTGTTAACAAAATGGCGCACACTCATACATCGGGGTTTGACAAAATTTAATTTGAGTGCTGTGATATGGGGGGGGGGGGGGGGTTGAAAAGAATATTTTTAAAAAAATAATCATTTCAGCCGTCCTTATTCATAATTTTGATTTTTTTTTTTTAAATTGATATTGATTTATATTTCTTCAAATTTGGACTATGACTATTTCCGCGGCTTCTATGAAACAATATGTGCACTCACTGTTAAAGTTATACTGTGTTTGAAAGCCCTGCCAGTTTTATCGTACAGTTGTTTGTAAAAAAAAACTTGAATATTCTGAAAGACGTCACTTCAATGACACGTGTGAATGAGTCAGGGGAGGTACTAATGACGGCGGCCATTTTGGCTGAGCCTTTATGTCGGCTGACTGGGTCACGAGATCGCTAGAATTATTTTTGTTTTGATTTAACCTTGCTGAAAGATGGTGGGGAAATTTCCGTTTAAATACAATCCATTTAACAACATTGCAGACGAGTTTTTTTAAAAATTCCTTCTCATCTACATCGATACATAAATCTAACATTTGTATCCTTAAGTTCTTTTGATTTCACATAATTTGTGTGCTTGTTTTGTCTTATCTGCTGACGAAGGCGTTTAGCCGAAACATCCTTTTAACTGTCCTGTTTTTACTTTAAAGCCCAAGCATATCTTGTTCCATTATTTACTTACTTCACATAACTTGAACACAGCCCCCCCCCCCCTAACCACACACAAATATTATCATAATTATTGCAATACACATTTAAATATATACATTTTTTTAAATTGCCCACCAACAGCTCCCAAAGCAATAGAAGCATTTGCCCCAAAGACAGAACAAGTCGTTGAACAGGCTCCTAGAGTGACAAGGTCAAGGCCACTGAAGAAGCTGTCCGAGCCTAAGCCCTCGGATATAATCACAGCAGTGCTGCACCGAGCCACTGTCACACGCACACAGAGCTTTGGCCCCAGTTCAACATCAATGGTTGACATCAGGCAGAACATCGCCCATCCCCTCACAGGAAACACGTCATCATCCTCCTTGTCAGGCATTTCCGGTCTATCCCAAATAGACTTGATTATGTCCCCTGTTTCACAAAGACCCGAAACTTTAGTCTACCAGTCAGCCAGCACAAGTGATCTGACTACAACGGGTACATCACCAAAGTTAGATCACTCTAGTCTGGATCATTCCAAGTCCGAAAGATCCTTCGCGTCCGTGTCCACGTCAGAGCTGTCCAAAGAGCAAGACTCTTCTTTGTTTACGCCATCTCCCAGGGTGACAAACCTGGGGAGATCAGTGTCCATGCATGTGGTCAGAAACAATTTGTCGTCACCAGATAGCGCAGGGGTGAAACCTTCATGGGCCACGCACGGGCGAGACTCACGGGAGACAATCTCCAAGGCAGGGTCTCTAGAAGTCATAACAGAGTCGAAACCCCTGGGCCCCATCCCGGGCTACAAGTCAGTGTCACCGGTGTTCCTGACCTCNTCGAATCCACCGTCATGTTGCAGATCTTGGTATAGCCGCATGGGCGACATTGTTTAGATATTACTCTTTTTAACCAAGTGAGCCGGCTGAAATCCTTTAGCCTCTTACCTTTAGCCACTGACCTATTTAACGAAAAGAGCCGAGTAAAGGCATTAGCCTCTGACCTTTAGCCTCTGACTTTTTCACGTCTAGCCATTCTAAAACCCAATGAGAACCCTGCCCTTCCCCATTCCCCCCCCCCGCCCCCCAACCAGTCCAAAGAGGGATAAGATAGTCTAAATCCTAAATAAATTTTCTGGTACAAAGCTATGAGCTCAAACAACGGCCCGGCTGATATGAGGAGAAACATGAATTCAACATTATCGGAAAAGCTACTTCCTTATTGATATTTTCACTCTAAAGATGGTGGTTGTGAAGCTTAATCAAGGGTGCTGAAAGGTAAGGGGGAGGGGAGGAGGGGGCGTCTTGACCAGAATCTTAACAACAAGATAAGGGATAATCCTTTCAACTTCGTGATAACGTTAGGTCATATGTACTCGGAGCTCACCATTTGTCAGATGGGGGGAGGGGGGGCTCCCTCCCCCCCTCCTCCACACTGATGATGGCCGGTGATGTCGGCTCAAGCTACAGTTTCAGATGGAGAAAATTTTAAAAACTCGTAGACAACCCCACTCCCAAACATCAACACTGCCAGACATCAACACTGCCAGACATCAACACTGCCAGACATCACCACTCAGAAACACCACCACTCCCAGACATCACCACTCCCACACATCATCACTCCCAGACATAACCACTCAGAAACACCACCACTCCCAAACACCACCACTCCCAAACACCACCACTCACAAACACAACCACCCACAAACACCACCACCACTCACAAACACCACCACTCACAAACACCACCACTCACAAACACCACCACTCACAAACACCACCACTCACAAACACCACCACCCACAAACACCACCACCCACAAACACCACCACTCACAAACACCACCACTCACAAACACCACCACTCACAAACACCACCACTCACAAACACCACCACTCACAAACATCACCACTCACAAAAATCACCACTCACAAACACCACCACTCACAAACATCACCGCTCACAAACACCACCACCACTCACAAACACCACCACTCACAAACACCACCACTCACAAACACCACCACTCACAAAAATCACCACTCACAAACATCACCACTGTAAAACGAGGTAATTCGTAGTTTGTTTTAGTCACACATCTCAACAACCATGCAAAAAGGCATCAAACATTTTTGGTTTAATAACTCATAACGACCTGGCCAAATGTAGCAGTTGGCGACTTGGTCCTGGCAGCTTATGATGCCTTAATTATCAGAGGTTGCCAGAATGGCCATTTAAAAAAAATTGTTTCTTAGTTTGAAATTCATAATGACCTGGTCAAATGTAGAATTAGTATTTTAACATACTTATTTCAATAGGCATCTGATAGTGTAGGATGAGATCACCAAGGAACATTTGTATAATGCAAAGATTTGTTTTTTACAGCGTGATTAGTGCTAGATTGCACACATAATAAGATATTAGGTTAGTTTGAAGACTTTCTAAAGGTATGAAGACAAGACTTTAATGTCTTTTTACTGCGTCCCAGATTTGAGATATTCTTAATCGTAAAGGTCACATCTATTCTTGAAACAAAAAGTATGTTATAAAAGTATTCAATCAATCGAGAGAGAGAGAGAGAATGAGAGAGAAAGAGAGAGAGAGCAAGATAGAGACGGAGAGCAATATATATATATATATATAAGAGAGAGAGAGAGAGTAAGATAGAGACGGAGAGCAATATATATATATATATAGAGAGAGAGAGAGAACAAGAGAGCAAGAGAGAGAGAGAGAGAGCAAGAGAGATGGAGGGGAAGAGCAAAAGAGAAAAAGAGAAAGATGAAATGATTAAATGGAAATGGGCGGACAGAGGAAGACCCGGGAGAGGTTTATTAACGCAGCGAGAAAACAAAGGGAAGAAACTGGAAAAGGGAGTGAATGATGAAAAAAAAAAAAAAAAAAAAAAGTTAAAAAAAAAAAAAAAAAAAT